GTCGCATCCCTTCAAAATTTGCTTTTTTGAAATTTGTAGCCAAAATATCATTATTCCTGATATCCATATGCAGCAAAACATCGAACCTAATAGGGCAATGGTCACTTGCACCCAGATGTTCCCCAATTTCCATATCATGTGATAAGAACCATCAAAAACATACATACAGATTCCTACATCAAGAGTTTCTTTAGATAATTAACATAACAAAACATTTTTAAAGGACTCTACCATTTGCTCTCATGAGTCTTGAAGTTCTATATGTTATAAGAAATCCTACATTGTACGATAAATTATCTATCATGTCATTTATTAATAAAAAAAGAGCAAAGGACTTAAACCCAAATTCTTCAGAACCCAAACTTCACAGAAAGATGATTAGAATAATAAATGTTTCTTAAAACAGAAAATGAGTAAACAAAAAAGGGGACATTTGCTAATCATGAGACCTAACCTCTTATACTAAACATAACAACTCTAGTTCTCATGTGAAATGTTATGAAAAACTTAAATTCTAATAAAACTTTGCCAAACTCTTTTAAATGCTGGGTTGTCTTAAACAAGTTGTTTTCACATTTATTTAAATCTATTTTGGATAGGGTTTTAATTTTCTTGAAAAAAAAGTTTATCCTTTTTCATATACTTATGCATTATGTATGAGAGTTCAGAACTACACATCTTTGTATTGTTAATTTGATATCATTAATGATAAAGAAGCTCAAAAATACCTTAATCTAAAATCAAACACTATTAAGTTAATATAATTTTTCTTATTGAGCATTTACAATTTATTACAAATAAAATTAACTTGTACCTGATGACAGATTCGAAATGAGAAATTCAAATATTTGAAAAACCTGATGTTTGAAACAAGAAGCTGAGTGGATGACAAGTGGCCAGAAGATTTAGCAAAGTTATGAATCAATGTGGCTGCCATGGGAACAGAAAAATAGAGAAGAAATGGGAATGTACAAAAAGTCCACTATCAGTTCACCTGAAAATACAGACACAGGTATTCATCTCTGTTTAGCTCAGTGTCCACTAAATATATAAAGGTCACAAATTCTGCAAGGAAAGGAAGATATGCTCATTAAAATCTAAATATGTAACTAATTACGAGTATTTTCTAGGTCAACATGAGATATTCTTAATCAATATTAACTTAATTATTGATTTTACAGGTAATATAAACATGATGATTAAGAATGTTTACTGTTTAAGTCTATAAATGTGAAATATTAAAGTCAAACAAGGTTACTTTAAATGTTAAAATCAAATGAAAACAAGTTACTTTATCTTTAAATGTTGAAATCAATAATATTACAGAGTTACAAAATAAACTTATAAAGGGAAGAAATGTAGAGAAATATAATTTTCAGATGAAACTAAACACAGGAGTTATGCAATAACACAAGACATAGGTATCATTAATAAGTGTTAGCAACACCATCATTAATACACTTTCAGCATGCTCTTCATCATGTTTACACAAGGTATAACCTTTTTTCATACTTAACAGCAAGAACAGAAGGACTAAAGGATAAAAATATAAATTTTGGCAAGGTAGGAGTCATCTTCATTATTATTCTAACAGCGTGGTTAGCCTTTGAAATGGGTTGCCTTTGGATGTTGGGGAGGCAGTAAATTTGAGTTTAAGAAAAAGCTTGATATGAATAAGGACTGGTTTTAAGATTTTTATTTTATTTTTCTAATTTATTTATTTGACAGTTTGAGTTTAGTTTAGAAAATGGGGCAGCTATGATGGACCAATAGGTCCCTTGTTGTCCCTAATCGTTATGTTAATACACTTTCAACATGCTCTTCATCAGGTGTACACAATACATTATCACTAATACACTTTTAACACAATCTTCATCAGGTATACACAAGTTTTAGTTCTAATTTATACTAATAATGCTATAATCTGTAATATGTCCTAACAAACACTGATATTAATCTAAGAGCCTTACCATTGATGTCAGCACTTTACATTTAAATGCTAGTACAATGAATATCCATTTTGATATACATATGAATATTCTGTCAGTTTTTGTTTGTTTCATAAAATCCCATGGACCCAACAAGGTGGCTGTGACAGACATGTGGTTCAGGAACATTAGTCTATAGAATACATCTAACAGTAACACTGGAATTATTGACAGTGACAGTGAACATGGACCACATGACCCAACAAGGTGGCTGTGACAGACAAGTGGTTCAGGAACATTAGTCTATAGAATACATCTAACAGTAACACTAGAATTATTGACAGTGACAGTGAACATGGACAACATGACCCAACAAGGTGGCTGTGACAGACAAGTGGTTCAGGAACATTAGTCTATAACAGTGGTCTGCAACCTATGACCCACAGGTCACTAAGTGACCTGCGGCAATAATTTGGCTGACCCACCAAAAGTTGGCTGACCCACTGCAACCCGTAAGGGCACAATCATTG